AAGCACAGCTTTATAGCTCGCAAGTGGGGCATTTGGCCTCCCAGTATGGCGTGACACTACAGCAATGCTGCTGGTGCGTGAGGGCGGTATTTAGTTCTTCGCCTTAAATATGTACTACATGTACTTGTACATCATCAAATGCATGTACGTGTATGTGTACGTGTACGTGTACGTGTACGTGTACGTGTACGCGTACATGTACGTAGAGCACAAGGCACTGTGGCCTTCTAGTACGGCTTTTCAACCAGCAGCAATAGTACAGCGCTATGGCTGGTCTGGCATCATGGCCTCACAACTCGGCAATGGCCGGTGTGGCACGGAATGTATGTGTCTCGTGCGGCGCTACAGCTCCATGGCTGGCGCGGGGGTTTCATGACCTCCCAGCATGGCGAATAACTACGCATGCTGTGCTACAGCACAGTGGCTGGAGCCAAGTTGGCAACGTGGCCTCACGCGAGTTGGTGTCCGTCGGGCGATTTTCTCTCCGATCTCCTTCATGAGCCTTGGGGCTTGGAGGCGCATCGTCTTGCCGCTTTCAGCTCGTCAGTACCCTGGCGAAGCGTTGGGCTGATAACCTGTTGGAGGGATGATTTGCGCAGAGTTGTTAGGGCAGTACAGAACTGAATGAGCCTTGGGTAGAGAAGATTAGGCGGCCATAGTGAAGAGGAAGTCTTGAATGTAGAAGGAGAAGACGCTTGTGTGGTAGAGTTCGTAAAAGAGGAAGTGGTGATTTAGATAGTCTGGTGTCCTGGAGGGGAGTTATTCTCCACCAACCAGTCCAGTTATATAAGAAATCTCTATATGATATAGCACAATTATATTCCCCTAGATAGTCAGCACCACATCGGAGATGGTTACTTCAACAATTCTTAAGCCAATATCGATTAACCATGGTGGGGGTACTGCTTTTATAAAACTGCACATGTACGTGTCTGTATCGATCTGCAACACCCTAAACAAAGCGGTCAAGTGCTTTAACTCAGACTCGATCCCATCTAAGAGCGCATTTGATAGCGATATGTGTAGTACTCGTATCACTGATGATGACTATGAGCGAGTAAAGTTCGTTTGGGAGCACTATAAGATGAAGACGGCCAAAGGTCTACTAATTTGGTATGACAATCGTGATGCCAAACGTTTTGTGATAGTCGTCAAGGCTCAGCGGAATCTATTCAAACGATTCCAGTTCGACATGTTTTCAGACGGTGTCTCGCTCCGGGTTCCGTTGAGAAGGTTATGTACCAGACTTGCTTCAAGGATCTCACCATTCCACAAAACCCGACAGGTACTGCCTTCACGTTTCCATACGATCGCCATAATGTATATAAGAGCCAAGACTCCAAGGCTAAGCGAGAGTTTAGCATGTCGACCTATCACCTCATCAAGATTCTTAAAGATCAAAACTACCTATGCATCCATGGCTTCTGTCAGCGTGACGAGGAGAGCATCTCTACTGATCGAATCGATAATACCATCGGGCACATCGATGGCAATATCATGATGTCATGTCACAGATGCAACTGTGCTTTGAAAAGCCTGAATCCTAACGCATTTCAATACCGGAAACTCCTCGAAGTCAGCAATGAGAAACAAGTTAATTCCATCGATGCAATCGCTTTGCCAAGCGAAACGAGGCAACGGTTCGAGGCGGTAAAACATGAAAGAAGATCTTCGGCTACGACGCCAATGCTCTCTATCTCTAAGCGTTCGGGTACGAGATGCCTTGTGGTCGCCTAACAACTATCGAGGCTTATGATGGCATCATGATGATACCAAATCTGATAAGATATTGGGCTTTCTCGAATGCAAAATCAGAACGTCGGAGCACCTCAAAGAGTATTTTTAAGATATGACGCCGATTTCTAAGAATGTGCTGATCGATTGTACTGATAAGAAGACCATTGGCTCGCATATGTATGGCTGAAATCCGTTTCGTGAATCTGGTCGCGAGAAAGCAGCCCGCAAGTTGATTGGTAGCTATTTTGGCGAGAAGATTATTATCTATACCCAATTGTTCAAGTGGTATCTGGCTCACGGTATGTAGATTACGAAGACTTACTCATTCATCAAAGCCAGCTCACACAAGGTATTTTGATCGTTTATGGAAGCTGCTCGACGCGAACGTGATGCTAAGGTAGGAATAGAATGAAAGTAAACTTGCGTGCCCGGCAAGTTACGGCCATTTGATTCTAGCGCTAAGCGGTCATACCTATATTCGGTCTGTTTTAGCCGGTTACACCTAGCCAGCTTCTGGAGAGACATTTATTGCAGCTATTGGCTGTATTTTGCATTGTATTGCTATAAGAAAAGACAATAGTAATTTAATTTCACGGAAAATACCTTAGTTATTTTACGGATATTTTTTTCGACCTCTGCCACCACCACCTCCACCCAAAGCACTGGTCTCCTCTCTCTACTACGTCTTACTTGAGTGCGATTTTAAGCATAACCACCCTGTACGCACAACGCACGCGAGCCGCAGAAAACCAGATAGAGCTACTGACTTGACATGAACACAAAAAGCCAAGCCAGGCACACCTTAAGTCAGCAGCCCCTCCCTCTCTTGACATCAGACTCTCTATCTATTGGGCTACACAGCTAGCTTCTTAGTTGCGAAATGATAACCGACGCTGTTGACTTGCTTTTGCGGAAGGACAGTCGGACGACTCTCCCCCGTAAGTCGACCACCACGTTTAAGCTTCTCTCGAAAGGCAAGGACTGTGTTCCGGTCGCTTTTAATTTTACTTCCAACGGCGTTTACTTTTCGCAGTAGATCATGGCTGCGTCGCTGTCGTATTCCAGCTGACATAATATGAAAGCAACGTGATAATAAATCTGTAGATCCACAGGCTTTGGTGATAGTAGACTGCGGATATGCAGCTCAGAATGTCAGCTTTGCTCTTGTTCTTAAGTTCGTCCTTCTTCGTGACTCCATCAAACGCTTCCGCAATCCAACCAAAACAATTTATGCAGGCGCTCGGAGTTTACTCCGGCAGGCCAATAGAGCCAATCCCAGATGACGGAGTCCGAGCATACGCCAACCTTGTGAGTCTACGCTCGGGTATATCGGAAGCTTTGTCATAAAAATCCCGGGTATACATCCCGCATTGGTCATTTACAGCCGGGCAAACCTCGGGTATACCTCCCGTTTGGCCATACAGACATGCGAACCTCGGGATAAGCCCAACCTGACTAACCAGCCATGCTACCGCTGGCGGGTCAACGTCATAAGTATTATCATCCGAAAGTACACTGGCTAAATTTTATTAGCGCTACTATATAATTTGGCAGCTCCTGGCTAGCCAACATACCTGCATGGAAGTTTCCAGTCGGTACTATGCTCATTCAAGTACAATACCTATCTGCCTTCGTGGCCTAACCAAATGAACCGCATTTGACCCCCTGCATGTATGCTCATCTAAAAGAGGCAGGTAGTTTTTTTTGCCGCGGTATGCGCGTATCTTCAATTTACTAACGTATTTCATCGAGTAGTGCCCGGAATATTAATAATTTGTGCCCCCTCCCAAGTAATCAATTTTGAAATGGGTACAGAGATCTGCCTGAATAAGGAACTGGGTTTCAGCTAATAACCTCGCAATTTTTATATTCGAGAAAGATTTAGGGAGATGGGATAGTGATGGGCAAGGTACTGACAAAACAATCCAGGCACTGACATTGATTTCTATTTTAAAAATGGCGCGCAGTAGGTGATCCTCCTTCGCTTCAAGCCCTACGAGCCGAGCTTCATTCCTACACTTACATTCAACCTCACTAGCCGACTGCGTCCTCAGCACCCCCATTTCCTCCAATCGTCTCCGCCTCACCTGGTCCGAGAAGGTAGCCATCCTTGAGAAGGCTGCTCGCTCACCTAATCTGTCGCATAATGAGCTAGCTGAGTGGATCGCCTAGGCGAAGGCCCTCGGCAACCCGTACAGCGTCGACCAGCTAAATGTACTGCTCTGGTGCGATGCTGCATTGTCTAAAGCTAGCGCTTCCACGATTCAGCACTGTTGGAATCACTCAGGTCTCATTCAAAAGTCGAATCTTCAATTTATCCTAACTTAATTCAATATATGCACATGATCCGATATCATAGTCTGGTTTTAGCAAGGCATTGTCAGCTTATGCAATCTCTTTCTTAATTTATATCAGGCGTTGTACTAATTCCTCTAATAATTTGCATTTTAAAATTGGCGATCGATGCACTAACGTATGACCAGTGCTGGCAGGAAATGGAGGGTGGTATTATAACAGCAGAAGAGTATGGAACTAGCTCATCAAAAAATCATTTTTATTTGAACAGCGATAATTTCACCAATATAGCTTCAAAAGAAGCACGAAGGACGCGAATAGAAAACTGACGTTTCGTCACTTCTTGTTTAATAAATAAAGACTATTCGCCTCTTTTATTCTAGGCAGTGCAATGCAGCGCGGACATCAGCTCAGCCCCGGGAAGAAAACCCTAGTGTGCAGAGTATATGATTACTTCGTCGCCGAGGCGAAAACAGACAGAAGTGGAGGGCGGGACTCGCACCAACGTACTAAAGATGCAACGCACTTTGAAAATAAAAAACATGTTTTGTGCTCCGGGCAAGGAACCTCGACCCAGACCCCGATTTCGTCGAGGTGTGCTTGTTATTTTGGCCCATGTAGGGTTAACACAGCTCTTTTGTAATATCATTTGGAAATCTTATAAGGACAATTCGCTAGTAGACGGAGCCATCCACACGAAGTCGCAAGAAGTTCTACAACAGAAGTGACCTTAATCTAATTGTCTGTGAGAATGTCACGGTGGACAAAATGCGAAAAAACACTGCTCAAACAAGCGTACAGCATGCTTCAATGCATAATCCCATCAAATGCAAGAGCCGGGCACACTCAGGCCTGAATCGAGAGATCTGGTCGTGTAACACAGTTTTACATCACCTAATAGTATCTCACTAAATAACCGACACATCATAACCGATTCCCCCCCCCTCCAAGGAACCAGCGCCGCGCGCCTACAAGAGACCGTTGGTGCCCGCGACCGAGCCCGAGACGACGGACGTTGTTGACGTAGGCGACGTGATCGAGGTCGCTGCGGTTGCTGAGGTGTTGTAGTCTGCGATGGCGTGTGCTGCGATGTCCGCAGTAGCGAAAGAAGCTGTCACGATCAGCGAGAAGAAAGTCGCAGCTGACGTGACACGCCGAGGATGAGGATTAAGGCACCAGCCACCCTCACACCGAGCACGATCTAGAGATAAGTGAGAAAACGTGTCGCTGTAGCTTAGCGAGCCCTACAGCTTTTTGTCCATGGTTCACCATACTCTGTCACCTTGTTGCGATGAAGATGACAATGCTCTGGCTCGTGGTCAACAAAGCGCAGCTACCATGAATACCAATACACAGTTTGTTCAGAACGAATCGAATATGGGTAAGCCAATTTATTATCAGATGTCTAGGTCCAAATATTAACTAATGCTGCTCCTTGCCACGCGCCTACCTATTGTTCATCGGTCCGACGACAGGCTGAGCTCGCTCACGGTCGGTTCGGCGGTAGCAAAAGCACTCTCGTTCTCCATCTTGGTTTCGGTTGTGTATGACGAAAAGCGAGTGGACGCACGACGAGAACTTCATGTTGTACAGGCACGGGAAGCAACCCGTTGTAGCGTCAACACTCCAGCCCGACGGAGACATTCCTTTCGGCTACATTCTTCCTGTTTGGTAGCTTACATGTGCCGTTACAGGAAGTTATTTACAAGCTCGCTTAAGCCCGGAGTCGAAGCCGCGTAGTGCCGAGGTCTGGAAGACGTAGACCGTATCGTCCGCTGACTCCGCGTCATTCAGCAAGAAGGATATGTTGCCACGCACAGGAAGAAGCTTATAGATTAGCACTTGACGACGAAGGGTGTTTATCCTGCGCTTTAGAGACGCTATTGGTGCAGGCATAGCAGGAAACTATCGTGCGTTGATTGATTCGTGCTTGCAACACGCCGTCATCTGAGCCAGCAGTAAGCCCATTGGTAATCGACGGTCAAGTGTCTCGTCTCTTTTGAGACACCTGCTAAATTGCTCCACGGGGTTGTTTGGAGAACTAAAGCACAGCCAATGCTGAAACGTGCCGGTAAGCCACTGCTTTTCGAAGTAGGTGACGTTGCAAGGTCCAGCTTTCGCTTCCACATTTTGATCACATGCTCATTCGTCGTCAGGTATTCCAATTTATGTGGGGTGAAGTACATGGTCATGCAACCCACGCATTACAGCGTGGAACCTCTCGGTGCATCGGTGTACACCTTCGCAGCTACATGAAAGTATCACATTAGAGTTGTGAGCGTGTTGGCCTCACCAAACGCACGCTAGAACGCATTACACTGCACATTATCCGCGTCACCCGTAACGTACGCAACTTTTAGCGCCTCGCCGACAACTTGCGTGTAGACACACCGGAGCGCGCAAAGCGCTTCCGTGCAACTTAATTCCTATTTGTGAAGCAATATAGATCGCCAGCAAGTGAGATGTTCTGTTGCTGTTGGAAATACACATATGAGAGCTGGATACCAATCTTGAGACAGCTTGAACGCTGCGTCCATGTGAATGACGAAGGACGAGGGGTCACGTGCGGCCTTTCGTAGGAGATTCTTGGTAGTGATGCCCACAAGAAACAGGTCCTCGTCCGATCCCCGCCCAACCCACGGTTTTCCGTCTGCCGTTTGCCTTCATGCGAACGTAATTGGGATCATCATCTGCTTCAGCTCGTAGTGAAGTCAGCGTCTCAGATGTTTTTTTTTTCTTCGTCGATAAAATTATTGTTCCGAAGCTGAGCTTCAGTGTAGTAATTCACAAAGCGTTGGACCAGCTGCGAATATGGCAGGTTTGCCTGGTCTACGGAAAACCGGGTCATCACGCCGTTGCGAATTCGCGATGGCCTGAGTCCTTGGGCGGCCAGATCGGTGCCAAACTCCTTTGTCGCTGCTGTCATGCGCGCCTACTCAGCATGGCGGTGCTGGGTGAGGTAGACACCGCTTTCGGCAACGGTCATTAAGCTTAATGTTTTACACTCCATCATTTTGCAGCGGCAGTTGCAGCGCCTACCCCCTGCAACTTCCTTGCACGTCTTGGCTCGGCAAAGACGCTCCCTCACGCGCATTTTGTGTGGCGCGGCCATGTGATAGACGCTGCAAGGCTGCAGCGCACTCTTTGCTATCCTGGAATACTTCATTGACTCAATCCGAATTACGGCATCGCTGGCAGAATACGCTAGTGCAAGAAATGTCCACTGGGGCTGGATACGCTTGGAAGGCATGATAGACTCTAGCGAAGAGGACAGGAGGAACTTAAGCGACTTCTATCGAATTTTAAAGTGGCTTTCGACCATGGACATCTTTCGTTATAATTGTATTGTTTTGCTAGAGCTGATTGGTCGACGTACGTAAGGGTATGCAAGTGTAAATAATTAGTGGTGGTGACCTGATTGGCTGTGCTGGCTTACAAAAGGGGGGTGCTCGAATAGTAATGTTGTGTGAGCGTACGCATTATGTGGTGATTTTGTGTAAGTACAGTTACGATTTTGGAATTGATGGTAATTTTGGTACGTTGTCGGTCGCAGATAAGCTGAGCTGTCATAGGCTTGGCTGCCTTGTTCTGCAACGTGACAGGCCAAGCCTGTGATAGTTCAGCTAGCTGCGACCACGTCGAGTTTGAGCGCACCAAATCTAAGCACTGGTGCAGCGTATACCACAGTTTGAGCGTAAGTGCATGGCAGGCCTGGAAGAGTGTGAGCTGGTCGACAAAAAGGAGCTTCGTGCCATAGCGGATGAGGAAAATGGCAAGTAACTTCGTTTAAATGTTTACAAATCTCATATCTTTACTTCGGTTTTTTATCTATTAGAGCGTGCTGCCACAACTGTTTTGGACTTTCCACACTCTTGACCAATAAGCCTTCTTCATTATACCAACTGTTTCTCCGTTTTAACGTCCCCGGAGACACCTTTTTGTGGAGTCTGTACCGACAAAACTACTGTGAGTCAGTCGTTTTAGCACAAAAAATCAAATTCATAATACCGGTATGTGGTTTTACCACATATCTAAATGTCATATCTGGTTGTTTTTTCACAATTAAGCTAGCTAAATACTAGCCCCGTCATTTTCTGTCGGTGCAATAGAAGCTATCTATAACTATACCGACCATAAACTGGAGTAAACTTTAATACAGGCTTGTATTCACAGTCAAGCAGATCTGACATCCGCATTAGACAAAACACCATCAGAACCCTCTTTTAAAATTTATTACAGATGGAGGCTCGCCTTTCTAAGATATCTACTGGAAGGAAAAACATGGGTAAGATCTCTTGAAATCCAAGAAATGTGGCACACACCAGAATAGCCTCAAATCCTGAATAATGATTGGTCAATAAAGGCTTCTTGGAGTCGCCGCTTGTGTTAATAGGCTAATGTTGCTCTAACGATATCGAAGCAAAACTGTACTGCGTGTAGTATAGATTACTTCGCTGTATACAGTACTATGTAATACTTTCTCTGTCCGAAATATAAGCAGGTCAACACTCAAAATTTAATATTAAACTCAATATTCATGTTAGCGTGTTTGTATTGGCTTAAATTAAAGCGCAGAGTACGACGGTTTGAATTGCGGTTTTTCCGCATCAATCGGTGGAGTCTAGCAAAAGTTACAGCCGGGATAGCACAGCAGCTCCACCTCAGTCCAGCTTTAGCCCTTCGCCAGCCTCTCCAATGGTCTCCGACGCTGCCTTCATCAAGCGTAAGCGAAAGAACCTCACTCCGGCAGAGCGCGCTGAAGCGGTTGCTTTCTTTCTGCGCGCTAGCATCGAGCTTCAACCCCCGATAGGTGCCATCTCCGAGTGTGCAGCCAAAAAACAAGTGTAGTGTCGACCAGATCGCCCGTCTTTGGCGACGTGCAGTCCAAGACATCAAGGCGGGCCATCCGATTAACTACGACAGCGGTAGGAAGGGCAGAAGCGGTCGCAAGTCCCGCAAGACGGAGGAATTCCGCTACGACCTCAACCATGCCATCGAGCTTATCCACCTCGAAGACAGAACCGATATTCGTACTTTAGCAAGTACTCTCGGTATTCCGAGCTGGACACTTCACGACTACTTTCTCGCCGGGGTATTTCAAAGACATACTGCTCGGGTTAAGCCGATGCTGTCCGACCAGCATCGTATCGATAGAGTCAAGTTTGTTTGTGGCTTTGCTCATCGGGCTCGTGACAATAAGCTGACGCTCAACAGCTTAATGGACTACGTGCATTTGGACGAAAAATGGTTTTATCTTAAGAAGGAAAAGCAGCGGTTTTATATGGGCGAGCACGAAGAGGTGCCGCACCTCACGGTGAAGAATAAAAACTACATTGTCAAGGTGATGTTCCTCGTGCCTGTGGCTCGCCCGCGGTGGGACGCGAAGCGCCACCGTATATGGGATGGCAAGATCGGACTCTGGCCGTTTGCAGTATACGAACCAGCTGAGAGGTCCAGTAAAACCCTTCCTGCTGGTACGCTGGAGCTGAAGACGTTTAACGTGGACAAGGACGTGTACCGCCAGGCACTTTGGCGGATGGTCATACCGCGCATCAAAGCGGTATGGCCATCGGTCCAGCGTGTAATACTCCAACACGACAATGCAAAGCCGCACGTGAATGCGGAGACCCGCATCGTCGCTGCTTGTGGTGCTGGAGGGTGGATATCAGCCGGAAACCGCAGCCAGCAAACTCCCCAGACTACAATGCGAATGACCTCGGTTTTTTTGCTTCGATTCAATTACTGCAGTACAAGAAGAAGGCATGCACGATCGAAGACCTGGTGAATAATGTCGAGGAAGCGTTCAATTAGTTGCAGTACAGCACAATTGACCGAGTTTCTTGTCACGCTGCAGTCGGTGCTACAGGCGTCGATGAACGTAGACGGTAATAACAAGTACTAGATCCCTCATCTCGCAAAGGGCCAGTTGCGGGTGAGCAATGGTCTCCTCCCTCTTGCATTGTGCTGCAGTAACAAAGTGCATGACAAAGCCATTAATTTCTTAAGTACGGCTAAAAAAAAATAATCAGTAACCGCACTTAACGCTTATTTTTCTGGACAGCACTTATTTCGGACAAAGGAAGTACACTGGGACCGATTTTAACGGTACTACTGATACTACCGCTTACTTGTGCACAGTATTTTGCAAGACCTGATATATTTGCAATTTTGAAGATAAATGCTAGACTACACGGAACTGTTACGTATAACAATTGGATAGTGATTTGACACAAACTGAAGGCTATTAATATAAGCTTCTCGGTGCTCTTTATTCAGGCAGATTACTGTAGACCATGTGTACATCCGGACGTTTTGTTCATCCGGACACACCCTCTGACCAATCACAGCAATGTATCCATCACACTGAAGTGCATTTGTTCAACCGGACAGACTTATTTTTACCCAACCCATCGTAACGGATAGTGCGATTTTAGCACAGAAAAGCTTCTTGTCGGGCACTCACAGCGAGTTTTTCCAGCATGGCACGAGGGCGGAAGCGAGCACCTGGCAGCAGCGGACGCCGTGACAATGGTCATACACGTGACTGTGAAAGTTTTAGTAAAAAGCTCGACATACTAAACTACGTTCGAGATCACGGCATGCCTGCTACACTAAATAAGTTCTATAGCCATCTCACCAAGCCCAAACGAGAGTCGAAGAGGAAGAGAATTTACGACTGGATCAAGGATAGAGAGAAAATAGAGTCCAAGGCATCTTCCTCGGCTACAGCGCACCTCAAAGCTGACAGAAAGAAGGGCACTGCAACGACTCTATCGGCGATAGCGGAAGAAGGCCTAGTCGAGTGGGTTAATACTCTACGTGGTGAGGGCGTACCGATATCCCGGTTGATGTTGCAGCTTCAGGCTGTAGATATCGCACACACTGAAGGTATTCCTGAGGGCGTATTTGAGGGTAGCTGGTGCTGGCAGCAAGGTTTTTTGTCGCGGCATGGATTATCTCTACGTGCTAAAACTCGCCAAGGACAGAAATCACCAGAAGCCATGGAAGAAGCTGCACGAGCATTTTGGTGTGAAGTTGAACGAACCAAGTTGGAACTTGGAGTTGACAAGATATACAATGCAGACCAAAGTGGGATCTGTTTTGAATATCTGCCCAAACAGACGATCAAATAAAAAGCGGGCAAAACCCGTATGGGTTCGCTGCGGAGGAAAGGACAAGGACCGTTTAACAGGAATGTTTCTGGCAGACTCAACAGGTAAGCAATATGATCCATTCTACGTTGTTAAAACAGACCCATCGAAAATCCCCGAGAGAGCTGCCTACAACTATGTAGCTCAACACGGTTTCGGTGATACATTATGGCGCCAAATGAAGAGTATCCAGACTGATCTTCAAGTTCAAATCTATGGTAACAGTTCCGCTTGGTGGAATTCGGATTTGTCTGTCGCATTTTTAGACTACCATTTTGCCGATAGAGACGAGGCATCTCCAGTTCTCCTGCTTTGGGAAATTTCTCAGCACACTGGACAAAGGAAGCAGCACAGCACGCTGAAATTTTGAACATTCACTTAGTGAAGGTGCCACCAGGCTTGACATCTGTGTGTCAACCGGCAGATATCTCTTGGTTTCGACCACTCAAGCAGAGTTTGAGAAAGCGTTGGGTGGATTACATTGCGCAGCAACTGCGTACGTATTCGTCAAGCGAGTCTAGCGCTAAGTTTGTGCTCTCACCTCCGTCTAGAAACGATGCTATTCATTGGGCTACGACAGCGTGGCGTGAGTTAGGTACACAGGTTATCAGAAGTGGATTTAAGCGTCAAATGGCTGAGCCAGCGGCTGACGTCCCTCAGAATATCGTAATTCAACAGTTAGAGCGTCTTCACGCGGTTGAAGAGACCGTCAGCGACGCGGATGATGTCGTTCAGCATTTTCTTGACGGGCAAGAGCAGTAATGAACCAAGCAGAAAGATTTGCACTTTGTATACGAGAAAAAAAAATCCTCTTTTTCTGACACGGTTTTTTGTTTGTATATAATTTTGGGGTGTCCGGATGTACACATGGTCTACAGTACTGTAGTATTACACTACATTGATAGCTAGTACTAAGCCCGGTTTCTGTACATTCCCTTTTCACTCACATGGCTACACCAACGATGAGGAAACCCTACATGTACACAGCTTGGTTACACGTATTACTACTTGGTAGTACTACACGTAGTACTAGCTATCAATGTAGTGTAATACTACATTAATCTACCAGATAAATGTATTATAGTTAATGAGCGTCCAATGCAGAAGTACTACTAAATTTCACATCCAATCCAATAATTAAGAGCTACTTCCACGTAGTAGTACAGCCTGTGGAGCACATGGCTGTAGTACGACATTAGTTGCATTGTAGTACTACTATAAAAACAAGCAGAATGACGTAGTACATCTCAAGTAAAAACACGATTGAGAAAATCAAACGATTTAGGGTAGGCGAATCGTAAATATATGTAACCTTCAAATACGAAGATCTAACTAAACCTCACCACCAAAAAATGCAGGGCAACACGCCCAAATGACTACAGTGCGACAGAACGCGCTTAGTCGACCTCCTCCATCGTGCTCTCCTCCTCGTCCTCGCCCTCAAGAGGGGGCAGGTCTTCCATCGACTCGTCAGCGGCATCATCATCGTCGTCAATGCTCAGACCAAGCTTGATAAGACGGTGGATACGGTTAGCGAACGTAGTGGGCTCATCCAGGCTGAAGCCCGAGGTCAGCAGCGACGTGTCGTACAGCAGCCAGATGAGGTCCTTGACCGTCTTGTCGCTCTTGTCAGCCTCCGCCTTCTCGCGCAGCGACTTGATAATAGGGTGCAGCGGGTTGATCTCCATCGTCTTCTTGGACGACATGTAGGCCGACGTGCTGCTGTCACGCAGAGCCTGCGCCTTCATGATGCGCTCCATGTTGGCCGACCAGCCGTACTCGCCGGTAACAAGCACACAGGGCGACTCCACAATACGGTTCGAGATCTCCACCTTCTCCACCTTGTCGTCCAGCACCTCCTTCATGAGCTTGCACAGTCCTTCAGTGGCAGCCTTGGCCTCCTCGAACGACTTCTTCTCGTCCTCCGTCTCCTCCATCTTGAGGCCCTCCTTGGTGGCGCAGATGAGCTTCTTGCCCTCGTACTCCTTGAGCTGCTGCACAGCGTACTCGTCAATGGCCTCCACCATGAACAGCACCTCGTAGCCCTTCTTCTTGAGCTTCTCAATGAATGGCGAGTTCTCCACCGACTTCTTGCTCTCGCCAGTCACGTAGTAGATACCGGGCTGGCTCTCAGGCATACGCGAGATGTAGTCATCCAGCGACGTCACTTCCTCGCCAGACTTGGTGGAGTGGTAACGCAGCAGCTTGGCGATCTTGGTGCGGTTGGTCGAGTCCTCGTGGATGCCCAGCTTGAGGTTCTTGCTGAACGACTCGTAGAACTTGTTGTACTTCTCGTTGTCCTCAGCCAGTTCGGCGAACATCTCGAGGCACTTCTTGACCAGGTTCTTCTTGATCACACGTAGGATCTTGTTCTGCTGCAGCGTCTCACGCGAGATGTTAAGCGGCAAGTCCTCCGAGTCGACGACACCCTTGACGAACGACAGGTACTCGGGCATGAGCTCCTCGCAGTTGTCCATGATGAAGACGCGACGCACGTACAGCTTGATGTTGTTCACTTTCTTCTTGGCGCCGCCCTCAAACATGTCGAACGGCGCGCGCTTGGGGGTGAACAGACAGGCCTTGAACTCCAGCTGGCCCTCCACCGAAAAGTGCTTGACGCCGGCGTGCTCCTCCCAGTCGTTCGTCAGCGACTTGTAGAACGACGCGTACTCCTCGTGGGTCACGTCTTCAGGCTTGCGCATCCAGATGGGCTTCTGGCTGTTGAGGTGGTCCCACTCGTGGGTCACTTCCTTAATCTTCTTAGTCTTCTTCTTCTTCTCGCCTTCCTCCTCTTCGACCTCCTCGACCTTGGGCTTGTCGTCCTCGCCCTCCTTCTCGTCCTCCTCTTCCTCGTCGTCCGTCACTTCCTTCTCCTCCGTCTTCTCGACGTACAGCTTGATGGGGAAGCCAATGAACTCCGAGTGCTTCTTCACCAGGTCCTTAAGCTTGCGCTCCTCAAGGTACTCGAGCATGTCCTCCTTGAGCTTCAGCACAATGCGCGTACCGCGCTGGATGGGCTCCGACGTGTCGGGCGTGACAGTGAACGAGCCACCGGCAGCAGACTCCCACACGTACTGCTCGTCATCGTTGTGCTTCGAGTGCACCACGACCTTGTCAGCGACCAGGTAGGCCGAGTAGAAACCCACACCGAACTGACCAATCATACTGATGTCGGCGCCAGCAGCCAGAGCCTCCATGAAGGCCTTGGTGCCCGACTTGGCGATCGTACCCAGGTTGTTAATCAGGTCAGCCTTCGTCATACCAATACCAGAGTCCTGGATGGTCAGCGTGCCGTTGGCCTTGTCCGGGGTCACCTTGATCTCCAGGTTCTTGTCCGTGTCCAGCACGCTGGCGTCGGTCAGCGACGAGTAGCGGATCTTGTCGAGGGCATCCGAGGCGTTCGAGATGAGCTCACGCAGGAAAATGTCCTTGTTCGAGTAGAACGTGTTAATGATCAGACTCAGCAGCTGGTTGATATCGGCCGAGAAGGCGAACGTTTCAGCTTCCGCGGCGCTCATAGTTTCACTGTGTTCTTGTGTGTCTTGGATTTGATTCCAACTGGGAAGATTGAAGAATGAGGCCGCTCTAAAGGTTTGGGGGGCTGCTAGCCAGCCAAGCGCCCAAACTAACGGGCGATCTTTTTCTTGTTTTGGGTTCAGACACGCTGTCATCGAAACTTCCATCGATCGGATAGGAGGGGCGACATTGATATTTTGTGTGGGCATGGAAAATGTTAAGGTAGGGATGACGTGCTGCGGGCTTCGAATCTTCTAGATTGCGACGGACCAGAGCTTAGCCGGTACAGTGTACCTGATTGATTGCTGGAGGTCTGAGTTCTATGGAGACGCGGCGGGTGGCTAGGTCCGACGATATGCGTTCTCAAGTCAGGCACGTGGCAGGTGTTTCGCGAACACTCACTGCGCGAATATTCGAGACGATCGAGAGTTCAACACTCTTTTGCTGCTTGCAGGTGGTTGGCTGCAAACGCTGAAGATGATTGAGGTGTTTAGATTGATGGATGGATAACCCCATTTGCATCGTTCACACTTACGTTGATACATTCACAATACACTTTTGTCTGGAATCACCAGCTCGTCACTATCAGCGTTTAGACCGTCTCAAGATCTCGCCTGCTACGGCGTTTAAATATTCCTATGACTGCGAGCGTGGCTGAAGCGCCATGATCAGATTCCGTGGTGCGTCGTACCCATCCTCGTTATTTGAAGTCGTGGCCGGCTTGGTTGATGTCGACGGTCGTGTGGCAGCTGCTCCGTGTTTCTGGCCAGCACTGAGGATTAGTGGCCGTGGGTTCGCCTCAATTTCCGGCTCAGAGGCAACAAGAGACGTCGCGCTTGCCGGCAGCGGAGCGCTCATGACTCGAGCAGCCATGATGTCGGCGACTGATTGAGGACTTTCAGACAAGAGCAGCTCTTGGATGCTACCAGCAAGCGACGGGAGGCTCACTGGAGTACCGTGGATGTCTTTATTCGACTGGGTAGAGGTGGCATCGGGAAGCGTTTGATGCGCAGCCAAGTACTCGACGTATTCGCGGATGTACTGCTGCATGTAAAGCTTGACTTGCTCTTGCTGTTCGTGGAGAATCGTCTGTGGATGGATGGGCTCATCGTTGGCGTCCATTCGGAGCAGACTCACTCTCTTATCACCCGCTGCTTGTGGTAACCGTTTGTCCGTGTTTGGTTGCGTTTCGCTTTGTCGACTGCGCTTGGAAGAGGACTCGCCATCCGACATGCTCACGTCACTTCCGTCTTGTTCTGTTGGCTTCCGCTTTGACCCACAATTACTAGTGTCGGACTGAGAATCGTCGTCGAACATATCGCTATCACAGGACTGGGAAGACTTGATGGCTTCTGTGTCCTCCATATCGACGCTAGGAGACATGGATTCGGACTTTACAACGACCACGTTGTCGGAAAGAGGCTGAGCAGGTTTGTTCTCGTTCTCGTCAACAGTGTCCGTAGTTGCTTGAGTGGTGGTAGAAGCTGTTGCTGTGTTGCGCGTTTTCCACCGGAACACAGGCTTCCGAGAGTTGGAAAGCTGCAGCTTCTCGATTAATCCGACACTAACCAACACGTTAGCCACGTCATATAGTCGGCGAATCTTGGCTGCCGTAGATTAAATATTCAAAGTGAGCAACCATAGCTTTGCATGGAAGCCGCAAATATGTTAACGTACTCTTTAGTAGACGATCTTCTTCGCTCTCGCTATCTTCCATTTGTATCAGTTGTTTGGCAGCTTGGTCCAGCGGGATAATACAATCCTCCTGTTCAAAAATACCGAAATGAATATTTTCGTTCCGCAAAGAAAAGTTAGTCGTCTGCTTTGGAATTTGTCGGAAAAAACACTCGACGTACCGATCCAAGGAAAAGTTGGACAAACATTTGACTCAATTTCGACAAGGACTTGCCTCTTCGACGATCACCTTCGAGCAGTATACACCGTAAGTTTCACAAGACGATAGCAAACACTCTTGAGATAGCAAACGTACTTTTGATGGGCGGGTAATCTGCGCCGCTCGAACCAGTCGGAGACGCCTTTTGCATTTCTGCGTATCGTTGCTTCATTGCGCAAATTGACGTCGGGAGGGAGGCCAGTCCGTGCCAGTTGTACAGATTTTTGCTCTTGCGACTCACAAGGTGAATGCTCTCGAGGATATTTACAATGTCGTAGATCCGTCTTCGCTCCACGCCCAATTCTGTAGCTGCTCGATCTAGACAGATCTCCAATATCTTGTCATCCCGGTACAGCTTCAGGAAGCTGGTACAACAACAGCAACAGTCAAATCTACAGTACAACGCAGCGTGCACAATATTAACAGTCCACCACTTCCACGTACTTCTCACATAGCAAGCCAAGTGACTTGTCCTTCCGGTTGTACTCTCGGAAGGGGAAGAACTTGACCTCGTCCCCCTCCATCCGCCAGTCCCCGTTCTTTGCGTCCTTGTCTCCATCCTCCTGTGTTTTAGACGCCCGACTAGCCTTGACCGGGGGTTTCCCCATTGCAGCCGTTTCCGAGTCCATCCACGCCGTTTTGATTTGTCTCTTGGCCGATGTCCCTACCTTCTTGGGGGCTTTACGCACGTATCTCCGCTTAGCTTTACTTGGCTTTAAAGCGGGGCAAGTATTGGTCTCTTGACTGTTGCTGCCTGTTAGCAAATGCATCATGGCTGCCGCTGCTTCCGTGCGATTGGGACTCGGCTGGATACTCGAAGCTCCAGCCATGCTGGGAGTAAGTGGAGGCAACTCCTGTGGCTTGCGGCGGATCGGGCTCATCATCTCCTGCGCTGACATCGGATTCGTAAGCAGGAAAAGTTGAATGAGACCGTGCGTAGAGTCCGGGGAGCTGCTTGCTGTGGCTTGCGAGGAGCTCCCGGGTCGAATTTGAACTGAATTGACACAAGGCCTTGTCGTACGCGCCAAAATGCCAGCACTGATTTGAACTTAAATTCCGCCAATCAAAGCGCGGGAAATTTGAATTTGCTCCCGCCAAAAGCGAAACAGGTGACGAACATCTGTTCGATGGCGTATCTGGTACACTGTACCATTTGAAAGTAAAATGCAAGTTCTACTTCGAAAGAGTATTTACTGATCGAAGGACGTGCATACAGTACAAGGCTTCAATAGAAAAAGTAAAAAGCTAGCACAAATTAGAAGGCCACCCTCACCAACACGCAAACAACTGGAAAAGCAACTCGACTGCATATAGTTTTGTGCCTGTCACGCAGATCCATCGATCCTTTTTGTAAGCACAAAAAATTATACCTCGTATGCCTGCTCTCCTGCATTACAGTTATTATTACTTCGAGATACGTTTAATATGCTAATAATACCTGGTGGTAAGCAGTGGAGGCTTATATCTTGAGCTCATGTTGTACTGTATCAAATGGATAAAGTTGCATTATCAAAATTCCGAGTACATGTAGAGGCACTTCGAAGTACAAAGCTTCGATATGTAGGCAAGTGGGGACATTTTATACATGCAGGTTATGTAGGAACAATTGACATGCACACAGCAGGTTAATTGCTTCGGGTAAATGATTCCGTGGCGCTGTTTAAAACAAACGCGTGAATCGTTGTGTATAGCCGTTCTTCTTGGCAGAAATATTCTGCCAAGATGAACGGCATTACACGGTCTATGGGTCTTCGGTAAACCCAAGCTTCAACACGAGACCTGATTGGCTGAATCTGCAAATTGGCTCTAGAGTCCAATTTGGACAGGGCATGGGCATTTCCAAGATGCAAGGTGCCGGATCATGCAGCCCATTGAGGCAGCAGTACGAGGATAAGGAGGTATCCCATGAGGACTCCGCGTCGAGGCCCAGCGTCACGCTCAGCGAGCGCATCAAAGAATTGGAGCTGAGGAACCAGGAGCTCCGAGAATGCTACGACGAGCTGGAGGAGCAAAAACACGAGATTGAAAAAGAAAGGAAACGTTTTGCAAAGAAGGCAGGAGACCTGGAAATCACACTGTATAACAAGCGGGAGCAGCTTTGGGGCGAAATTTCAGACTTACAGGACGCGCTTAAGGCCAAGAAGGAAGAGCTCCAGGAAGCCCTTGAAAGTCGAGCGAACCACCGACAAGCGGAGCGTATACTGAGAGACGAACTCGGGTTTTTGCGTCGGCGTCTTCGAGACCAGGACGTCAGTCTCTCCCAATCTACAATCGAGTCGAATGAGAAGGCGAGAGAAGCCAATGAGAGAGAAGAACTGCTTCAAGAAAGCGTAAAGGAACTCGAACAGCGACTACAAGATCAGATTGAACTGATAGGTGTCCAGCAAGCGCGTATCGTGGAAGTTACGGCTGAATCTAGTGAGAGAGCGAGAGACGCGTGTGAGAAGGAATTATTTCTTAAAGAGAAAATTGCACAACTCAGTCAGCGTCTGACTGACCAAAGGAGAGCGTTCGAGGAAGAGCGTGCACAATGGCAGCAACAAGCGCAGACAAGCCAGACTAACGGACAAGCTGATCTTACCGCGTCGCTTGAAAGAGCAATACCACAGCTACGGAGTCTCCTGAGTGCGTATGATCGAGTACATGGGAGCGAAAAATGCCCTCCACCCAGAGCTGAAAAGGGTCCAATGAAAACGGCACACGTGACGCTCGGACAACCCAATTTGCAGCATCTGAAAGAGCAGGAACGCGCTTTTGTCGACGAGCGAGCTCAGATACTGGAACAAGCTAATGATGCAGCAGAAACTCAGCGAGAGATTACGCGACGGAACTTACTGGAGCGTGAGAAGGTATTGATCTGTCCAATCACATTGGAACTATTCGACTTCCCAGTGGTTACCGGATGCTGCGGCAAGACTTTCTCGTCAGAGGGATTACGACAAGCGATCAGGCAGAACCCGCTCTGTCCGTTTTGTCGAGGAAAACTATTGTCCTCTCACCCAAACCGCGACGTGGCGAAGCTCGTGGAGATTCACCGAAGAGAACGCTCAGTTCTCGGCATTACAGACCCAAATACGCCGACTTCTTCCACTTGTGCGTCTCAAGAAAACGATCCTACATTGTCAACTACCACACCGACAAGTAGCCGACGTGTATCTGGGAACACACGTCAAAGCCGACATCGACATAATCGCAGCGACAGAATTCAAGCGAGATCTCAGCTTCCCCACCGCCGACCTACCACAGCCCGTAGTGCTCTTGTAGATGCTGCTCCTGATGCAGCGAGTTCCTTGTCACAGCCGCAAGAGAGATCTATTACTCCAGGTGGCCTTACCGTCTCAACAATTGGCAGTGATGGTACAGTAACGCGTGTCCTGCCTCATATGGTACGATCTGTCTTAGCTTCCGCGCACTTCCCGAGCGCGCGGCCTCAGTCTACCGCCCGTGGCCGTCGTCAACGTGCAAGGACTACCGGTAGAGCCGCGCCTGCTACTTCACCGACGACTTCCTCTACCTCACGCCGTCGAGCAGCTAGTGCAGCACCAAGAGCTGTGTCAAGTAGTATAGCACGTATCGCATCCTCTAATATGCCACCGAGCTCGGCGCCAACTTCTGCATCGCAGGGTACACGACGTGTGAGAAACTCGACAAGGGCCGCGTGCAACACTCCTGTTGCCGATATACCAGCAAGTGCTGCATCTAATGGAGCAACCTCAGCTGAAGTGAAGTTTACTGCTAGAAGTGCCATGCTAAGTGCAAATAGCCAAGGGACAAAGTCAAGTGGGAGATCAAGTGAAGACCTGAAGGCCTGGCTGCGTGCTCTTCCTACTGCTACGTCAAGTTCTACGCAAGCCACTGTATCGAGCACGACAGCTTTGCGTCAACCGATTTCTGGCATCGCAGGACGACTCAGTTTCCGGTCGAGAGCGCCACGGTTCTCCTCGCTTAATAGCTAGCCAACCAGCTCCTCGGCAGCCTTTGCGCAGCCTTGCGCAAAGCATCAATTCGTTACAAGATCTGCTGGGCTCGGATTTTGAATCAGATTCAGAATCTACGTGATAGTTTTTAAGGCTGACACCGTTTAATTCTTTCGTCGTGTACAATAACCCCGGTGTTCAGGTTGATTAATTATCAGAATTCATTGGGTCGGAATATGTATTCTCTGCTGGAAATAAAAATTGCTAGTAGCATAATACTCATAACATTATTAATACATGTAGCCTAACGGCGGAAACGATGCGACTACCCAAAGGGCCCGGCAGAGAACCTCGCAATGCACAAGAATACTTCTCACATGTGCATAATTTTAAAACTGTCTTGCGCTCTATAGGAGCTTATATTTTAAACTAGGATGTGCAGTAGCTGAAATTTTTTGAGTACTGAAATTTATGAAAGCGCATTTTATGCAGCTAATTCAGTGTATCAGGTTTTGGTTTTAAAAAGGCGCGTCTAAATGTGCAATCTAAAAAAATCTTTATTTCTTGCTCAGTGAGCCATTAGTAAGAGAAATGCCCCAATTAATTTAGTCAAAAGAAAAAAATGCGGCGCTTCCACTGACCTTGTATTTTTATTCTGGTGCCCATTGGGTCCTCACCAGTATATCTTTACGGGTCTCGTTCATCGGTTGCAGCTTTAAAAGCGTGCAGGAGCTAGAATTTAATAGATCATGGCGGAGAGACAGGGCAAACAAACTGATGCGTGAAGTTATCGATTAGGTCAGATCTAATTATGCTTGGGACGAGGACGACGATCTACATATTCGCCATAGCGAAGCGGAGGCGGAAAAGCCTTAACAAGTATTATAGGACGTAGCCCAAACTACCGCTCCGCGCTCGGCTAGAATTATTGTTACTAGGCCACATACAATTACCTGGGAATGCAAATTAACCCGTCTGCCGTGACCGCCATGCTAGGATTTTTCCGAGATGTGTATTTGTTAAAATGGCCTGAATATTTTAATACTGGACCGATTCCCGCGATCTGTCGCGTACATATTTCGGCTAAATTGTTGCGGACAGATTTCGCCTAGCCCGTTGTTTCAGGGGCGTACAGATATGCCCGTCACGTATCAGATTCAGAAAGCGATACTCATGCGGCAAGGCGGTTGTACCCGATCAGACCAAGAGGTACAAACGTGTATATTTTTTAGTTCTATTTTAGCGGTACAGAGAGAAGTTTTGGAGACGCTGTTCCCCGTTCTGCGCTTCGCTCCTTCTTCCAAAAAAGCTTTCTCATCGATGAAGGCATGACTGTCGCCGTTCGTGAAGTCCGTTTCAGTAGTGGGTGACACCATATTGCAACATAGTAGCCTTCGTCAAGGAGCTATAGCAGAATGAGTGACAATAACATGAAAGAAATACCATGTACAGCTGAACTGGTGCAGCCGCTAACCACAGAAGAAGCTCGCTCTCTGTATGTGGTACTTTATGGATTTCAAGAATTTAAAGCACAGCTCGGAAAATAAGCGAAGGTCAAGTGGGTGTCTTAACAGCCTGGCTGAATATGCACTTAAAAGGGATGAAAAGCACTTGGCTATCTCCCAGATCATAAAAGAATATCAAGTTCTGCTTCAGCGTCGCGTCACGTAGAGCCAAGCAGCGACGCAAACCGTAAACACGAAGCTGAGAGGTCTCGAATCCCGCACCAGCATGATTACAGCATTGGGCATTGAGATGAGAAATGAAGCCAGTCGCGCTGTTGAAAACATCAGCATACTTAAGAACTCTATAAATATGATTGAGCCTGGAACTTTCGTGTTCGTCCCGAATGATCTCTACCGGGAGTCCGGTCCGGTGTCAGATCAGGCCGCCTTATAGCTCAAACCACCGGAACTGGAGAAACTTGTGGACAAATGCCTTAAATAGAAGAAAACCCCTTCTCTAGCGGAGGGGGGGGGGGTGACAACAATATCGAAGTTTACGCTCTTAATATGATCACGTGGTATGCAGCGTACGGACTCTACTTCAAGAGCTCGCAAGTAGACTCTCGCGCTGGCCAACTGATGATGAACCACACTAAAGGAAAGGCGAAACACTGGTTACTTTGGGACTACAAGGAGCCAAGAACCTGGACTGCGATGATCAAGGGAATGCGTAATCGTTTCGTGGCTAAAGCAAAAGAGGATGACCTCGCTGGCAATTTCTTTGACTGCAAACAAGGCATTAAGCTGCTGGATGCGTATATCGAAGAGTTCGCTCGGCTAGGTAATACGAACGACGTCTCAAAACAGTACAAAATGATCCTACTCACAACAGGACTCAAGTCAACTAAGTTGCGGGAACTGCTGCAAGTCCGGGAATTTGACTCTCTCGGCGATATATTACCTCATCATTGTCGTCGGGAATCCAAGCTCGGCTCATGCCGCTAAGCTCACCGTAGATGAGATCGTGTTTCTCCGAGTAAGAATACCGGCACCACCGGTGATTTCTGTCGTTGCTTCAAGCTGTGCACGATTACTTCCTGTGCTCCATGAGCCCTGCGAACTTAGTCCACGAGCGATGTAGAATTCTCCCGCCGAGCTGCACACGTTTGCTCAGTCTTCTGCACTAAGAAGTCATTTTCAAAGTCGCTTCTCCGGCTTAGTGCATCCGCTATCGTAATTGTTTCTCCAGGGATATAGCTTAGCCGTAAGGTATAGTTAGTGAGCTGGTCATACCACCGGCAAATGCGTCTATAGATGCTTTTTTGCGTAGTACTTATTCAAACGATCGATGGTCAGTTTCCACGGTGCACCCACCATCAATAAGATACACCCTCCAAATACTAAGACAATGAATAATAGCCAACGTCTGTGAGCTGGATAGCTGAGCTCTGCTGCTGAGAGTTTCCATCCTGTAAAACCAATCGGATGCTCGATATCTTGACTAGTGTTCTCCCCGACTTCGTGACGTAACTCGACATCCCCTGTAGGGCATTTCGTCAGAAACAGTACACCACCAGTTGTAAATTGGGTTACATCAGCCCGAAAATATAATGGTCTGGTAAAATCCGGTAAAGCTAACACTGTTGTGTTACAAAGCGCTGACTTAACCCTATTACTGCCGTTGCCACTAAAACCCTGCAATATACTTGGTCTTACACTTTTTACTCAGCTAAAATGTGAGGATTATATTTTGAGCGAATTAATTTGCTTGGTTTTACCACATGTCTCAATTTCCTTTTGCCATTGTTTCTATTGTCTCTATTTCCTTCCTGTGATCACATGTCTCTATTGTCTCTATCTCCATTTACTGCAGCTTCATACTGTCTTGGTACTACAAAAATTGCAATAATTATTGGCAAACTTAACCCCTCTGTTACCAAGGTCGTATCTTACGACTTCACAAAACTACAAAGTCGTAAGATACGACTTTAGCAACACCAACAATAGCAAATGGCTCGATAAAAATGTTCCATTACTTTAATCAAGTGTAATTTCTGCTCCAAAAGGTATAAGGTCACACAGGTCAAACTTGCATGTGCACAAAACGGGCGGTGGAAAGGGTTATGCGGGAAATGCTGATCCGTACCCAGTGATGAGTGGCTCCACGGTTCCAGACGTGCTCATTTGGAAATTGGAGCTCTGTCACGCAAGTGGATAGATGGCGAGGTTGCGAACGAGTACGGTGACAAAAGATGCTGCGGTGGCGCGTTCGGTAGACTTCAGGCATCTTTGGCGGCAGCTCCGCGCGGTCGGGCGGACGTCGAAAAGACCGACGCGGCTTGCTACGGAGTGGATGTACTTCGCTCCAAATCGTGACTCGCAGGAGCTGGTTGAAGGGACAAACATGTTCACTGGTAAGCAAATCTTTGGAAGGGTTTCATATCTAAGTACTAACTGTTAGCATGCTCAAAGGCGAGGACGCGGTTGTTAGATATGCCATTTCGTCTGGGCTGATCAATCTGGACGAAAGCAGTGACGACAACGGACAGGAGTCAGATGAAAACGTCCGTCCTTCTCAAATTGACTGCTCTCTGATGTTGTCCGCGCCTACGCTGGATGCCCTGTTTGACGGCAGCAGTGATGCTAACGAGGAGAATGCCGGGCCTGATACAGGAGTGGCTGCACCGGCTGCGGACATAGCGCAACAGTTACCTGGTCAGATCGGGTTATCAGACGAAGATGTCGTTGTTGGTGCGTTCCAGCGAATGCTTTCGGAAGCTGAATCAGAAGGACATGTCCAGTTCTCGGACAACGAGAGCAAGCAGGATGATGTGGAACGTGTGGATACGTCTCCACCCGCTGTCCACGTTAGAGCGGACGATGTGAATGTACTACAAGAAGACGAGCACTCCGATGACTTCGAGTGTATGGAATCTAGCACCAGCGATGATGGTGGTGATGACTGTGAAGAGGACGATGTGGTAGAGCGCAGAGAACATGTTGAAGACGACGACGAACTTCCGGATGATGAGCTGAAACTAGTTGACGAGGCATTTGTAGCTTCTCTTGGTGGGACTCTCTCCATTGCCAACATCGACAAGGATGCTTTGCGCCTGACGAAGTGGAGTGAACCGTCCTCTCTGTTCGAAAGTGGTAGACTGAGCTACCAGGGGCTTTCAAGTGACGAAGCAACTCCTACGCACGGGCTACGGGAAATGGCAACTACACCACTAGGGTTGCTGCTCTACTTCATGCCTAAGCAGTTGTGGGTCGACATCGCGACTGTAACGGGGCTACATGGTGTGGAGCACACAGGGGTACGAAGTACCCGGAGAGTTAACAAACTCTCAGTACATAAGTTGGAGAGTTAACAAGGTCTCTCAGTACGTTGGCTGAAAGCCACACGTTATGCATTTGATTAGGTTTAACTATGCTAGATAGTTAAAGAGATACATTTACCCCTAGGCGGCTTGGCCGCAATAATAGTAAATAAAACACTTCTGGTTTTGAAGCATAAAAGTTAAGGTGTTAACTTTGAGCCCTGGTCTTGGGCTGTAAGTGTCCTTTGGATAAGGAACTTAGTATTAGTGACTCTTTGAGTCGAACGTCTTCCTCTGACGCTAAAGCTACGGCAGCCCCGCTGCACTTGGTAGCACTTGTAGTCAATCCCGCTCCTGAGTCGGTTGACTATATCCTCTGCGAGGATGGAACACCCCGTGTTCGCGAATTTGCCCCCGGCGCAGCAGGACGCGCTTACTAAGCTTATGTCCTTGCTTGGCCCGGAGGGCGTGGCTCATCTTGCATCGCAAGGTCCAGAGGCGGTCACTGCCAGGCTGGAATCGTTCTCCCGCTACGAGAACGCGCTCTTGGAGCATGTCCAAGAGAAGATGAGCGCCGCAACGGCGGCGGCGTCGATGACGCGTGAAGAGTCTATGAGACTGAAACCGCTCATGGTGAGCGTAAAAACCTTCGAGGGGAAGGATGGAGAGAATCTCCTTCTCTGGACCCGTGAGGTCGAGATGGCCATGGGATCGGCCCTGCTCCAGTCTGAGCATCAGCGCGTGACGCTGGCTATCTCCAGGCTTGGAGGTCGCGCTCGCGAATGGGCACTAACGTGCGGCACGTCTGTTGAAGCTGCATTTCCCACTTGGGATCAGCTGAAGCAACAGCTTTCGCGCGTGTTCGCGCCGCCTAATCAGGCGTACCGTATCCGGTCAAAGTTTCTTGCTACCCGCCAGGGTAAGAAGGATTTATTGGACTATGTCCAAGAGTTGAGAACTCTTATCGCCGGAATGGCGGCGGACCCTCTTCCGGAACTGGTCAGCGTGACCGTGTTCATGGAGGGACTTCGTGTGAGCGCAGCTCGAACGGAAGTGTTCCGTGTACACCCTAACTCTTTTGAAGAGGCGGTGGATGTGGCATTAAATGCCGAGCACAACTTCAGGTCGGCGCGACCTGGTTGGAGCGCTGGTAGCGCAAGCTCTTCGAGCGGTCCAGAGCCGATGGACCTCAGCTATGCTGAAGACGGAGAAGCGGAGCTTCTTGCTGCGGAGCAGCGCGCCGGCATCCGCCGATGCTTTGTGTGCAATAGCACTAAGCACTTGAGGGCCTATTGCCCTCTGCGCAAGAAGCGCGAGGCTCCGGCGAGCCAACCCTCCGGGTCATCGCCGGGAAACGGCAACTCCCAGTAGGCGCGGGGCGGCCTACTGGGGAAGAACTGAGTTCTGTTGTGCCTCGAAGTGGTAGAGGACAACGGGGCTCAGCCCCGAAGAGAGCTGAGCTCTCTTACGAGAAGAGTGTGTGCAAGCCGGGCTTGCTGGTCGTTCAAGCGAACGTGAAGGGCTTTGCAAAGCCATGGAGAGTCTTGATTGACTCGGGAGCCTCGGGCAACTACGCCCGTCGCTCCACCCTGGAAGGGAGTCAGCTGTATGCTGAGGCACTGGAAGTGCCAACGCGAGATACGATCTCTGTCCGTCTCGCGACGGGGACACTGGTAACTGTGTCGAAGGTCTCTGTCGACCTTGGAGTGAAGTTTGAGAACTTCGATAGCGTGGAACGCTGTTTGGTCTTAGACCTGGATGCGAGGTATGACCTCATCCTTGGCATGGCATGGCTGGAACGTCATAAGCCATGGATCGACTGGAAGTCGAAAACGCTGGGTGCGTCGCACCCTGCTCCTAGTGGAGCTTTGGTGAGTCATGAACCCACCTCTGCTAGGAAGCAGAAGCGCTTTTGGCGCGAGCACGAGGCCGAGGCGGCCGTAGTGCTGGACATTGGTATGTCCGAAATTGTTAGCAACGAGGTTGCTGTTTGCCCTGAGGGCGTACGTGGTGCGGCACGTTATCCGCGGAGCGGTGCAGGTCAGGTCAATGACCAACTGCTGGGTCCTGGTGAGGACGAGCGCGGCGTGGCGCATAATCCACTGAGTGGTATGAATCTGGTCGATGACCTACCGCTGCGTGACCCGAGGGTCGCGGTCGACTGCGAGTCGAGGCATCATGGGCGTGGCCCAGGAGATGCAGGTGAAGTGACACCTAGTTCACTGTGTGAAGGTCAAGAACCTCTTGGCTTTCAGCCGAGTGTCTTGCGAGACACTGTATCCTCTTCGAGGAGTGATGGTGCTGCTGCACCCGGTGGTGGTGACGGAGATGTCGCCACACCGCCCTCATCCGGCCGGGCTCGGTCGCGGAGGGAGAGGAGAAGAAGACGCAGGGCGTCTGTGACGTCTTCGACGTCGGACGATGTGTCCAACGTGACGAGCGGTGATGCTCCACGTGATTGCTGTGAACAGCTGTATACACTCGTGAACGGAGTGACGGGGGAGGTAGAAGGCGATATCAGCCTTGATACTCTGCCCGCTGCAGATGCTCTGCTAGAGCTGGACGAGATGTCCATTGCCGAGTTCGGCGAAACCTTAAAGGCATGCGAGCTAGCCGAGGTGGTCTTGCTGGGACCTGAGGAGGAGTTGAACTCCTCATCCGTCGTGGACGACGCGGTCCTAGAGG